TTACCAACACAGTTTGTTCAAACATGTTATTGGTTATTAAAACCACACTCCTTACCAACACAGTTTGTTCAAAAATGTTATTGTTTATTAAAACCACACTTCTTACTAACACAGTTTGTTGACTTGTTTATTAAAACCACACTTATTATCAACACAGTTTGTTAAAACATGTTATTGTTATTAATAACCACACTTCTTACCAACACAGTTTGTTCAAACATGTTATTGTTATTAATAACCGTACTTCTTACCAACACAGTTTGTTCAAACATGTTACTGGTTATTAAAACCACACTTATTACCAACACAGTTTGTTCAAACATGTTATTGGTTATTAAAACCACACTCCTTATGGGGGAGATTTGGATGTGGAGTGTACCCTGGAGGATGAGCTGGCTCCTGGAGAGTACATCAACAACTGTGAGAGTACTGACCCTGAGTTACAGACTGTTGGGTTTTGTTCCTACAGAATTGTCGTTAAAGGTCAGCTGTGTTTAGTTTAAAACAATAATATAAACATCGTTCTTGTTTTTATATGTGAAAAGAACCAAACTTCTTCAAAAAAATTTAAATGAATATATAGTTTGTAGCATTAACTCAAGAGAAATTACATTACGTGACTAGTTTCGGATTTCTAATTGATGGGGCTGGTTTGAGTTTCCTACTAATGTATGTAGTATAAAACTCAGATTAATTTATGTTACATGTTTAATTTGTATTATACGACTCAAACAAAATTACATTACATGTCTAGTTTACGGTATAAGACTCATACGAAATAACGTTATGTGTCTGGTTTATAATACATGACTCAAACGAAATTTCATTACATGTGTAGTTTATAATATAAGACAAACGAAATTACGTTATGCATCTGGTTCCTAGTATAAGACTCAATGAAATCATATAACGTGCCTATTCGTTAGCATAAGTCTTGACTGCTAAATTATTAGTCAAGTTGAATATTTTAACATGTAAACAATGTTAAATACATTAAGCTATTAAAACTTTCAGCTGCAACCTGTGACCCTCCACCCTCACCTAAGCATGGTTACGTGGAGTGTAACGTAACCGAAATCGGAAAGTACCCTATAACAACCATCTGTTACTACAGCTGCCTAGCAGGATACGTTGTACCAACAAGCCAATTTAAACTAGCTACAATAGTGTGTCTTCAATCGCTCCGCTGGAATACAACGGAACTCCTGGAATGTAAAAGTAAGCCTTTTACTTTCAATCTTGATCTTTACGATTTTGACTTAAAGTTAAAGTTCTCCCTCCCCCACACTTGGATTTTTTTACAGTGTGATTGGTTGATAGATGTAATGACTAAATCTGTCATGCTACCGACCCAGAACTGAGAACTTTCACTTCTTGTAAATACAATGTCATTGTCGAGGATCTGGGAAGAACTGACAGTAGTACTCGTAAGTTTTAACCTCTCATCTTACAATTACGAGAAATACCATACAACATCCGATAGTTAATCTCGACATTTAACGAATTGAGGGTCTTTCACGACAATATGATTCGGAGTTGAAGGAATAACACACTACGAAGCATGTTCTCGTCTCTTCAAAACTGGTTTTATACTAATAAATCTTTACAAGTGATAATTAATAATAAAACTAACTTCAAGTAATTGTGGATGATATTTTAACTGTTTTCCTTTGAGAATTATATTATATAGATTTTGATACCAGCATTTTCAAATATTTCAACCTTTTCAGAGAGGGTGGTCCCAGAACCAGAAAAGGGAGCTTGTGAGGATGAAGAATTTGAGACTAATAAACCAGACTCATTAGTGATAAAGCCTCCTCAATTTGTAACAGTCCGGGGAGATGCTGCTGTCGTAAACTGCTCCTTGTCTTATATCCCTCAACATGGCGTCCATGAAAATCTCTGTCATGCTACCGACCCAGAACTGAGAACTTTCACTTCTTGTAAATACAATATCATTGTCGAGGATCTGGGAAGAACTGACAGTAGCACTCGTAAGTTTTAACCTCTCATCTTAGAGAACAGTAATGGTTACTGGGGGGTGAATAGAAACTTTGATTAAGCGGGCAGCATGTTAGCAGGATACTGGGGTGAATATAAACTTTGATTAAGCAGCATGTTAGCAGGATACTGGGGGTGAATATAAACTTTGATTAAGCAGCATGCTAGTAGGATACTGGGGATGAATATAAACTTTGATTAAGCAGCATGTTAGCAGGATACTGGAGATGAATATAAACTTTGATTAAGCAGCATGTTAGCAGGATACTGGGGGTGAATATAAACTTTGATTAAGCAGCATGTTAGCAGGGTCACTATATATAAAATATTTGACGCTGTTTTTCTTCTTTAAAATATTTTTAAAAATCAGTTAAATGCTACTAAAATGGAAAACGAGAACCATGCCATTTCCTGTAAAGCAGATAAACAAGGATATTAACTTCCACCAAACTATATTTCTTCCCAAAATTTACTGTAAAGGGAAATAAGCTTATTTGTTTCCTATATAAAGTTTAACGTAAATTATTTTTAACAGAAGCTCCCTTTATGTAACATGATCATTAAAGATTCTGGAACTTACCACTACTAAACACATCCTTTGTCAAATTCTCAGGGTATCTACTCTTTGATGTTAATGTTTATGTCTTCATTTTGTGGATTATCACTGCAAGCGTAAGGAATGAAAAATGAGTTTCAGTTAAGCCTTGATTAACATATTAAAGAAGAAACTGTTTTCACCAAGAGGAGTGGTCCAAAAGAAATACTTTTAACATATTTATCTTGTCAAAACTTAAAGGAAAAAAAAAACATTTCCTTCTCAGTTTTGACTGTTTTAAGTAGCAGGTAAGAGCATGGTAATAAATCATAGGAGAAAAATAATTTTTAGTATATCTTGTTCTGTGCAATGGGTGTTTTGTAATGTATTAAATCCGTGCTAAACGACAGTAATTAACCTAATTTTACCTCTTCTTCAAGGAAGAAGTTGTGATCCTCTGAATTCTCCAGCCAATGGTTACATCCAGTGTCGAGTCAATCACTCGATGATCAAATGTGAACTGAAATGTCAGAGTGGGTTTTCAATGCCACCAAATCTGTTTCTTCTCCAGCGTGGTTACGTGGAATGTGATCTGATTCAAGACACGTGGGATTTCCAGAAAGTCCACAAGATCCAAAGTTTACCGGACTGTCTTGGTAAGTAATGCGTTACAGTAACTATGTTTCTAATTACTTGAGTAAGAAGTGTGGTTATTGATAACAATAACATGTTTGAACAAACTGTGTTAATCTTAAGGAACTAGTGGTAATAAACACGTTTTCAATTGTTTGGTGTTCCAATGATCTCTTAAGGAACTAGTGGTAATAAACACGTTTTCAAGAGTTTAGTAACGTTATACTTAGACTATTCCAATGTGTAAGATATCACAAAGAAACTCTTTCTTATTGGTAATACAAAAACATCTCTACACTGCTCACTTATAATTTTTTTTCATCGCACACCTAAATAAAACGAGGTGATAGCATAAAATACTATTATCTAGTAAATATTCTCTGTGTTCCGTATTACTGTGCCGAAACTAGCTTTGGTGTAAACTATTATCTAGTAAATATTCTCTGTGTTCCTTATTACTGTGCCGAAACTAGCATTGGTGTAAATTATTATCTAGTAAATATTCTCTCTGTTCCTTATTACTGTGCCGAAACTAGCATTGGTGTAAACTATTATCTAGTATATATTCTCTCTGTTCCTTATTACTGTGCCGAAACTAGCTTTGGTGTAAACCTTCTACTGGAACAATGATTTGTTAAAACCTTCGTGTAATATATTCTATACCATTCACTAGTAAATGTCCAACATAGGCGTGAACCTTCAATCTAGTCTTAAAACAAGTCATTTGTGATACATGAACATTATACAAATCATTACTGATAACTTAGCATTAAGCGAGGCATTACTATTAATTGAATATTAAAATATTCATAACTGACGACTGACCAATAAACGAATCATTACTGAAAATTGAAGACTATATTAGTCACTACTGATAACGGAACATTAAATATATTATTTCTCGTATCTGAATATTAACTGAGTCATTACTGACAAATGATCAGATAAATTTGTTAACTTCATAAAGTTAAATAAATTAAACAGAAATTATTTTTATATAAATTTTAAGACTGTTGTGTTTGGTCATTCCTCTAGAGGCATATCCTCCTAAACCTTTGGATTGCACCAATCACACTTTAGTAGCCGCAAGTACTGTAGCTCAGGTGAAGAAACCCAGGTTTGTAGCGGGAGAGATCATTGGAACACCAAACAATTGAAAACGTGTTTATTACCACTAGTTCCTTAAGGGATAATCCCTTAAGGAACTAGTGGTAATAAATACGTTTTCAGTTGTTTGGTGTTCCAATTATCCCTTAAGGAACTAGTGGTAATAAATACGTTTTCAGTTGTTTGGTGTTCCAATTATCCCTTAAGGAACTAGTGGTAATAAATACGTTTGCAATTGTTTGGTGTTCCAATGATTCTTTAAGGAGTTAGCCTTGTAATAAATACGTTTCCAATTGTTTGGTGTTCCAATGATCTTTTAAAGAGTTAGCCTTGAAATAAATACGTTTCCAATTGTTTGTTGTTCCAATGGTTTTTAATTGTTTGGTGTTCCAATAAATACGTTTCCAATTGTTTGATGTTCCAATGGTCCTTTAAAGAGTTAGCCTTGTAATAAATACATTACAAGGCTAACTCTTTAAAGGAGCATTGGAACACCAAACAATTGGAAACGTATTTATTACAAGGCTAACTCTTTAAAGGATCATTGGAACACCAAACAATTGAAAACGTGTTTATTACCACTAGTTCCTTAAGGGATCATTGGAACAACAAACAATTGGAAACGTATTTATTACAAGGCTAACTCTTTAAAGGATCATTGGAACACCAAACAATTGAAAACGTGTTTATTACCACTAGTTCCTTAAGGGATAATTGGAACACCAA